AACAGAAGAGAAATAGAAAGAACCCAACAACTATTACATGATTTTGGGGGCCTGCCCCGTGATTTTTGAACACTTGGAACTGGCAACATTGCTACTGCTGAGCCCAGCCTTCACCTATGGTACATGTGACCTATCCTTGGTGAAGGCAGATATTTTTCATTCAAGACTTAAAATAAATGTTCGTTTTGTATTTGCAGTATTGTGGGGCTTTCAGCAAATGGCTGCAATGTTATGAAACTCACTGGATTCCAGCAATGCTTGTCTATATGCTGTCTTGTGTGCTGAGACTATCTCTGGGAAGAGGAGGAAAACAAGCTTATCATTTATAACGCTATTGCTGGTTTTGTGGTTGTGAGGCTTTCTGCAAAGTACAAGAATAACTCATTTGTGACATAACACTTCTGCATCCAGAATATATTATCCTCATGCTTGGATACTTTAAGGAACAATACTAGGTTTTATGTTAAGGTCTGTCTCATGTCCTTTGAGAAACATGTGGTTAGAGCACAGGACTTGGTGTCAGGATACTGGAGTTCTGTTCCTGCATCTGCCACAAACCTGGGGCCAGATCCTGGCCTCCATTCCAGATACTTTGTTCCAATTTAACCAGCCATCTTACACTTTCATAAGGGTAATCCCAAGGTGGAATAGAGACAGCATAGTGGCTCTGCTTATTCTATTCCCAGCACAAGGGGCATTCGCAGGGAATAGAAGATGTGAGCAAAGTACCTCTGCTCTCCGACTATTTCTGGCAGCTTGATTGGCCACTTGTGCAACTGAGCATAAGTCAAAGAAGCCTTCACCCAGCCCCAGAAGCAGGGATCATAAAGCCACCTTTTCTTAGCAGAACCAATGAGTTGGGTCCTTGATGTATAATTTGACATGTCACAACTTCTGTCATTTAATCGCTGCTTTCAGCATGAGCAGGATTAGGTTCTCCAAGCCTCATTTTCCTCATCTGTGAAATGTGGTAAATAATACTTGCCAAGTTCAAAACTAAATCTACTAACATTTGTTAAAAGAAAAGGAGGACTTGTGGCACATTAGAGACTATCAAATTTATTTGCGCATAAGCTTTCGTGAGCTACAGCTCACTTCATCGGAAGCTTATGCTCAAATAAATTGGTTAGTCTCTAAGGTGCCACAAGTTCTCCTTTTCTATTTGCGGATACAGACTAACACGGCTGCTACTCTGAAACCTAACATTTGTTAAGCACTTTGAAATCTTCAGACAGAAGGTGCAAACAAGCAATATATTAGTTTGTACCTGTACCTCTTGCTCACTTTCTACCCTTCCAGTTCCTAATCGTTTAATACCATCTTTCTCCAAGTGTCACAAGATGTTTTAAAAATAAATCTACTGGCAACTTCTGAAAACAATCACCAGTAACCACCCATACATCACCACAACCCTAAGGATCAGCATTCTTAGAAGAATGCCAAGTTGGCATTTGGCTAGCTGAGAAAATGGATTTAGCACATTGCGAGATCCCAGATCTCAATCAGTAAAATGCTCTCATGTAACAAATCGAGGTGACCTATTCTGTTTGACATTGGTGAGGCCTCATCTGGAGTACTGTGTCCAGTTTTGGGCCCCACACTTCAAGAAGGATGTGGATAAATTGGAGAGAGTCCAGCGAAGGGCAACAAAAATGATTAGGGGTCTGGAACACATGAGTTATGAGGAGAGGCTGAGGGAGCTGGGATTGTTTAGCCTGCAGAAGAGAAGAATGAGGGGGGATTTGATAGCTGCTTTCAACTACCTGAAAGGGGGTTCCAAAGAGGATGGCTCTAGACTGTTCTCAATGGTAGCAGATGACAGAACGAAGAGTAATGGTCTCAAGTTGCAGTGGGGGAGGTTTAGATTGGATATTAGGAAAAACTTTTTCACTAAGAGGGTGGTGAAACACTGGAATGCGTTACCTAGGGAGGTGGTAGAATCTCCTTCCTTAGAGGCTTTTAAGGTCAGGCTTGACAAAGCCCTGGCTGGGATGATTTAACTGGGAATTGGTCCTGCTTCAAGCAGGGGGTTGGACTAGATGACCTTCTGGGGTCCCTTCCAACCCTGATATTCTATGATTCTATGACCATTGTTTCATATCATCGAGGAAAAACACTGGCAAGAAAAACATTTTGGAAAGTAAAAAGAAAAGGAGTACTTGTGGCACCTTAGAGACTAACCAATTTATTTGAGCATAAGCTTTTGTGACCTACTGGTCACTTCATCGGATGCATCCGATGAAGTGAGCTGTAGCTCACGAAAGCTTATGCTCAAATAAATTGGTTAGTCTCTAAGGTGCCACAAGTACTCCTTTTCTTTTTGCGAATACAGACTAACACGGCTGCTACTCTGAAACCTGTCATTTTGGAAAGTAACTCCCTACATGACTGAGATGAGGTTTAGTTGCTGAAAATACCAATACTTAGATAATGCTGGACTCCAAACAACCATCTGCAATGAACAAGCAGCTAGAAAGACCTAGCCAAGGAATTCAAGTTAATGCTGCCTTGTATCTAATTAAATTTCCTGTCACTTTAAGGCTCTTTTTCGCTAGCACAGAAATATTCATTGCTCCAGCGCGGCAGAATTTTCATTCATAATTGACATCTTGGAAAAACTGAGCTATACTTTACAATTTAATATTTACATAGTATAAGGATCTGATTACAAAGATATTCTAGTTAATTCTAACTGGGTGTTGCTTACTGAAAGTTGGATTCTTAGTACAGGTTTCACTGTAACCCCAAAAATGCATTAGATATAGCAGCGAAGGATTATCCCATGGGCCAACTGCACAGCATCCAAGTCAGCAGAGGGAAACATGACCAAGTGAAATCAAAACCAGAAAGAAAACTTATTATAGAAAAAATTATTTTCCTCACTCTTTTGATCACTGAACAGTGCCATTGTTTATAATTTCCACAAGCCTTTGTCCATAGCTAATATACATCACTATGAAAAATGTCAGCAGAATCTGCTGTTTCTTACTACATCTATAAGGATCACTAATACCAGCTGAGATTGTGGTTAGCAGGTTTACAAATGTTAACTGTTCCTACACGTGAGCTTTAAATTACTGAAGTTAAGGACAGGGTGGACAGGCCATACAAACAATATCATTAGCAAAATCTAAAATTACAGTACATCTTGGAATTTAATTAGTACTTGAATACCATATACATGCAGAGCCAGGAAGCTGAAATTGCATCTATTGACTTGTGTGTTAGCACATATACTTCTAAGTGCTCTTCAATGAAAGTTGCTAATAAATGGTAAAGAATTCTCCAAAACACAGACAGAACAGAAAAGACCACCCGGTCGGCCTCCAAGAAGATGGGAAGATGACATTGTTAAAGGTTTCGGACGAACGTGGAGAAGAAAGGTAAGCGTGCGAGAAGAATGGCGGACGTGTTGTGATCGGGTCAGTCTTAACGACAGCTGAAGACCATTCGATCCAGGTGATTCAGGTGGCAGACAGGCCCTGCATGTATCTGAGTGATGAGAGGAATACTGGCAAATCTGGTTTTGCCGCATTTGTGCTTTTAGCATTTAGACGTACCCCAGCCTTTGATTACATTTTAAACAGTGGCACCACTCATACTACAAGCTCTAGGACATCAGATTAAAACTTTGATCAGAATTTGAAATCCTGGAAAAACCACTACTGGGCACTATCTGTTGATATTTTCAAACAAGTATAGAGTGAACTTGATGTCAGTGAAAGGGGCTGGTTTAATGGCCCTGGAGAAGGAAATCCTGCTCTTGCAAGGTACTGAATACCCTCACCTCATGTTGTTGTCAGTAGGAGTTGCAGAAGCTGAGCACATCTCAGGATTGGGAGTGGTAATATAGACTTCTCTACATTGCCCTACCAAAGACCATCAGTGCTGACAGGGAGAAACCAGCTGGGCTGTCAAGTTCAAGTTCTCTGGCTCATTTAGTTTCTCAGGCTGACAACGAGGGGACAATTCAGGATAACCACGGTAGGTAGCTTCTGTACTGTACAGCCCTGTCCCTTAGAAATTGGGCAGAGGCTTACCACCTCCTTTCATGTAGATGTCATTAAGCAAGCTGCCAAGTGATAACTTCTTATAGCCTCCAACCTAGGCTGGGCTGAAACTAGAGATCTAAAGGCAAAGGGCTTTCTATCCCCTCCAGTCCCCGAGTGTTTTTCCAGAACATCCTAGAAACATGTCGAATGGGAAAGGTTGCCATCTGGCCAGTTTTTAACCCATCTGGCCAGATGTTGTGGTGCCTGGTTGGTTCCTGATTAAAAGATTTAGTATGCTGAGTTTGTTTTCACTTGGGACCAACATTCCCTGTAAAATGCAAACGCACACAGCTCTGCATCAAAATCTTTAACTGCCATATGCATCACACAGCGGGAGGCAGGGCCAATACCTGGTCCCACTCTCCATGCTGGGTTTTCAGCCTGCCAAAACTACAACAGACCCAAGGGTCATGGGGGGTGCACGGCCGGCTCCTGGTGGGATCCGTCAAGGGCTGAGGTGGGTGGGTGGCTTTTCTGTTCTCAAACAAGAAAAACCCTTTCCAGAGTCCGGAGTAGGTGGAAGCCAGGTAGGGAGACTCAAAACCAGCGCAGGTCAGATTCCACAGCTATGGGCGTGCTCCCTCCGAACCAGGCTGCTCAACACGCCCAAGTGAGGGCCACATGCCAGCAGCCTGGGGGCAAGGCTTCATTTGCAATAAAGCAGGGCAGACTGAGGCAGCATTCATTATGGAGGTGCAGCATGCTGGGCTTGCCTCTCACCTCCACCAGCAACCCCACAGACCGTGCCCCCTGCATACGACAGGCCCCAGGGCAGCATGAGGCTTCCCCATATGCCGTAGAACCACCAAAAAGGCACCACAGTGCCCAGCATGCAGCGGGCTACCCGCCGGACTACAATTCCCAGCATGCAGTGGGCCACCACTGGCCTACAATTCCCAGCATGCGGGCCCCCCCCCCAAGAGACCAGGCTTCTCATTATGCAACGATGACAGAGCCGCGCACGGTGGGAGCTCTCGTTCTTTCGGGGCCACTGCGCTTGCGTTGATACCGCCAGCAAGACGGTGGATGTGCAGTGCGCATGCGTTTCAGCGCCGTGCGCCCGGGGTGAGGAGACGGCGGCGGGACCGTGAATTACGAGGTGACGAGAGGACGCTGCCTACGCGGGAGGCGTCCCGTCCTGACGCGCTGCCGCACGGGTCCGGGCAGGTTGAAGGCGGCCCGCTCAGGCCCTGGCAACGCGGGGGCGGGTCAGCCTCCGCCGGCAGCTTCTCTGGGGCCCGCCTCAGCGCCGCGCAGGCAGCCGCCCGCCGCCGCCATGCCTGAGGGCAAGTCCGTCTTCCGGGAGGTGCTGCCCAAGCAAGGTAACCGCTGCGCCCCGCAGCGCTCCCTCCGCCGGGCCCGCCCAGCCGCTCTCGGGCCGCCTCCCCCATCACCCGCTTCTGTGCCCCGGCGCTCCCCGCCCACAACGAGCGGTCGTGCCCGGGCAGCGCGCCGCCCTACTCCCCCCCCCTCCCCACCCCCACCCGCCGCCTCCGCCTCCCCCTCCCCCCCTTCCGGGGGGCGTCACGCCGCCGGCCAGCTGGAGGAAAGCGAGGCTGCCTGCCTCTGACCACAGCCGCGAGGGGTAAGGGGCGCGTGCCTGGGGCAGCTAGCCCAGGGTTGCCCACGCGAGCTCGATGAGGTTAGCAGAGGCGTGCCTGCCCGCACAGCTGCCCGACCTTCCTCTCTGGGGTGGACGGACACCCCCTCCCGTTGGTAAGATCTTCGGAGTAGAGACCTTGCCTTGGTTTTCTCTTCAGCACCGTGCACAGGTATGGTGTTGTATGTAAATGAGATTTATCTAGGCGGGGGTAGTCCCTCCGTCGCTTAGGCAGGGGTTCTCAAACTGGGGGTTGTGACCCCCTCGGGGCACAAGGTTACTATATAGGGGGGGGATTGTAAAGGGTCAGCCTCCCAAAAAAACCCCACTTCGCCTCCAGCATTTATAATAGTGTGAAATATTTTTTTAAGTGTTTTTAATTTTCAAGGGGGGTTGCTCTCAGAGGCTGGGTGTGTGAAAGGGGTCACCCATACAAAAGTTTGAGAACCACTGCCTTACAGCAACTAGAACATCCAGCAAACCAAACGCCAGCTACGCCTGAACCTTCCTGATCTAGGCAAGACCAATTAAGTGTGTGTAGGCATATTCTCAATAAAAGCAGGAATCCTGTTTTTACTTTGATTACTCTTCCCCTTACTGGTCAGGGTATTTGAAAGCGCATACAGTAGTTTATAAACACTAACGGGTAAGCCATGACAGAAAACAATAGAAAGGAAGTTCATATTATGATTACCATTTTACTTACCTTCCCCATAACCCACCCCCATCTTAATCATTAAATGGGTTTGACAGCTTCATTCAAATCCTTAGTTCTAGCAATATAGTTTGAAAGTTGGGATTGCAGGGCTGCTTTCATATGGTGTAAAGCACTGAGTTCTAGCAGCTGTGCTGGTAAAAATGTAAGAACTGAAAGGCAAGAAAGCTGTCACATGAGGAAATAAGGCATATTACATAAGCACTCTGCTTGGCTACTGTTGGAAAGCTGAGAATCCTAGTCATTAACTTGATTTTTAGGAGCTAGTCTAAATGTCTTTTTTGCACAGATCTGAATAAAGATCCCAACTCTCAGCTATGTGACTTCAGTTCCTGAAAAAATATTTTTTTTTCCTGTGGTTCAAAAATCAGACAAAAGATCTACTTCTGAAAAGCAAGCCAGTTTCTTTATCAGTTGAGGTTAATGACTTGTGCTTTTGCAAACCTTTTTCTCCAAAGAACAGTATATTCTTTCTGAAAACTAATGCTGTCTTGTCCAAAATTCTTGTATTTATACACTAGGTTTTTCACGAACATTTGGTGCTATTTGAGATTTATACTTTGTTGTAAAATTCATGCCAATTATATGAAATTTACATATTCTTATTTTTCCTTCTACACTTCAGGGCAGTTGTCAGTGGAGGATGTGGCTACCATGGTGTTATGTAAGCCAAAACTATTGCCTTTAAAATCTGTTACCCTAGAAAAGCTAGAGAAAATGCAGCGAGCAGCACAGGAGACAATTCGCCAGCAAGAAGTGGCACAGAAGGAGCAGCAGCAACAAAGTGAATAGTGTGCATGATGGCTCACCCCCTTTAAGAAATATTTCACCTAAATATTGTACTTTAGTTTGTGTATATTAATCTAGTGATGTTTGCTGTACAGTTATTAAAAAGGAGTTCAGGAATAGTAGAAGTCCATACTAAACTTTCTTAGCTCATGTCTTCTTATATTGTACATATTATAAAAGTCTGTAGATTTTGCTTAAGAGGAGTCTTTTGTTAGTATGCTTATTACCTTCTCTGTAGCTGGGGCTTTCAGCTTCGTAGCTTGATTTCTTTTTTAAAAAGCTTCATAATTGTGCTGGCTTAAAAAAAATAAGCCCCATGAAGAGTTTGTCCCCCTCAACTTACTTTTTTTTCCTCTGTAAACTATTTACTTTAGTTCATTACTTGAGGCTGGAGATGTATAGTTAACATTTCTGAAATGTTACAAATCTTGCCTGGCCGTTCTGGTCTAGGTATTATATTAGAGCAGCAGCTCTGCTAGAGGTTAAGCATTGTTTACTGTTTAAAGCATTACATAAGTGCTTTACAATCCACATGCTTATGGGAATTGTCTTGAAATTTACTGTGCCCAATGAGTATTGAATGAGGTGGATGATCCAGATTTGGGGGATGACTGGGGATCTCACCCTCCAACTGATCTCACTCTTTCAGGATTTATTTTAGCTAAGTCATTGCCCCCTTTTAGTGGGTAAAATTTGCTCCTACACAATGGGTTGATTCAAATCGCTGGGCCAAAGAGTGAAATGTGCATGTGCAGTAAGACTGCTGCTCTGGTGCAAACCAGAGTGTTTATAGGCTGTCTGCCATAGTAACTGGGTGCCACAAGCGGACATGCTGCAACTGTTGAACTGAATTCAAGCTCTATCCACAGCAGTTTTCTGAGAATGTGTTGTGCAGATGTTGCTTTGCCCCCCCTTGGGCAGGAGGCACCTTTTAGAACTCTTGCCCTAAAACCACAATTTCTAATTTTATTTTAGTTTTACTTCTAATTTGTCAAAGTTCTTAGTATTAATTTAATAGGGGGAAGATGACAGACTAATAAGCAGCTACCATAATGTAATCATGCTTCATACTCTAACCTTGTTCTGAACAATGGGAGTAAGATGCTGGGTCATTTGGTCAAATGGCTAACTGATGTACCCATTTTCAGGGAAGTCTGGGGTAAAATGTCCCTTTCAGTTTAGTTATTCATTAATTCTCTACAAAGTGCTATGCGAAAGGGTACTTTTTAGATATGTATTTTATTGGCACCTGGTTCAAAGATTATCTGCAGAGGACTTAAAAGAGCTTTCCAAAACTGCTTATATAAAAACAAAGGAAAAGGATAGCTTTACAAAAATTTATTTTGTAATACATTCTATCAGAACTGTTCATTTTTTCCAGTTTTGTAGAGAAATAGATGTTCCAGCCACCTTTTACTGCACTGGTCTTTAAGACTAATCAGTGTGTTCCCCTGGAAAAGACGAATACATCTTATGACCAATCCATTTTTTAGATTCTTTAAAGAAATAACCATTTTTCCTCCCGAAGCACAGCATTTCGACAGCAGCAGCCAAAATGAGGTTACAGCAGCTTAACTTGACCCCTCTATAATAAAGCTTTGTTTAAACCAGTGATTTTACTACAAAAACACTGTCCTTGAAGGAAAGGAGTGGCAGTCAGACATCAATGCAGAACATGGAATGATTAGGTCATAAACATATGGCACTTACAGAAGGGTAGCTTATTTGAAGGCACCACCACTGAAATGTGGTTACTTGTTCTGTTCTACTATATGCCCAGAGAAAGAAATTTCCTTCCTGAATATAAATTTACAAAACTATTTCAGAATGATTTGTACCCCAAACAAGTGCTTTTAAAAAAATATGAACTGTGCTAAGCAACTCTTACAATTTAGAGAAAGAATATATTTTTTCCCTTTAAACATCTAAGGCTGCAAGAGTTGGTTCCTGTACTCAGTAGCTCTCTAGTTTAAGACGACCGCCATCTCCTTCACTTACAAAGCGCTTCCTTCCCCTGTAAGGAAAAACAAAATACAAAATTATAATTTTACATTGTCAATAGTCCTTCCTTATTTACCATAGTTTAGAGTGATCCCTGCACCACTTCACAGGTCCTGGGAGTAACATGGAGGTGGCTGGTGATCAGCAATATTACCTGTCAAATTCTTGATCATCTGAAAAGGCCACATAATCAATCTGAATATTCTACACAGAACACCATTTGTGTATTTATACTAGGCTTTTCAAAACTTGACACTCAAGTTTCTTAGCAGGCAGGAATTCTCCCCTTCTTAGAATTCCATGTAGTGTTAGAACCTGAGAAAGGTGCTAGTTTGACAGCCAAGATACTGCACCTCTATTTAGCCAAAGAGCAGGAGAAGTACAAAGTCATGCAAAGCATCCTTCCCTATGCTGCCCTGTCATTGGGCCTCAAACCCAAGTGGGAGGAATAATCTCTAGGACAGAAAGTTATATTCCTTTGCACATTTTATAGGGCCTTCCAATTACAAAGCTCAAAGTGTTTTGCAAACATTAAATCGGGGGAGGAGAGAGGTTTAATTAAAGGTTACAAAAAGTTATTTTGATAGTGCTTCTACATATAGTCACTAGAACTGAAGTATAATGCAGCTTTAATTTTAAATGATGATGATTTAAAAAAACTATACCAGGGAATATGTCAGTATAAAACCTAATGGATTTAATTCCTCAAAGAACAGAACAAGGAACAATTTTTAAGTCCCTCGTTTATGTTGGCTCTCTCTGGGATGAGAATAAACTCATTAAAATTTTACAAACTCACTTTGCCATCAGGAAGATAATTTCTGTATAAGAAACCTAATTTTTTGCAGATCAAATAAAAAAGGACCTTTAAAAATACAGTATATAACCTAACCCACAGTAACAATGACTTGTGAATAGGTAGCAATTTGCAAAACTCACTTTTAAAAAAGTGAAAAATGAGTACAGTGTTAAGAGCTCAATGCCCCAGAGTGCAGGAAATAAGACATGGGGCCACCTACTGAACAATGAGCATAAAACAAAATATTGAATAGTTGCTCATTACATGAGCATTATCTATCTTGTGCACTAACTGAGGCAGGGGTCCTGTGGAAAAAACAGTAAACAAGACCATGTAATAAAGACTGCATCATAATGCATATGTTCAAGGGGCCAAATTAAGGTTGCACATTTCCTGGCATTTCTTAACTTTTGTGTGCTTGACTTCACATCCTTAATAATGTTCTTTTAATGTAGTTGTGTGTAAATTCCTAGGTTTTAAAAAAGAACACTTAAAACAGATTCCATCATGTGGCATCATAACACCTTTATGGTTAATCAGCAGGGTGAAACCTTTAGATGCACCACAGAGCTTGGCCCCTTGAGATAACAGAGTAACCGATAGCACTAGTAGATTGTTATCTGCATAACAAAGCTATTGGACACTTTGTCACTGGGTTTCCCGAATACTTTCTGACAGCACAGAAAGGGCGAGACTCAGGAATTCTCAAGTTTCCATTCCAGTTTCTGGAAGGGAGTCTGATCAAGTGGGCAGAGGCTCTTCTACCTCTGTTTCCCACTCCCTTCCCCCACCTCCCATGTTTGACCCTTCTATCCATCTCCTCCAACCTCTCCCTATCCCAGTCCTGTCTCTTCCCCACAGCTTCACAACCCAGTCCTCTTGCCTAGCAGGTCCTACGCTTACCCCTCCGGACTCCCAGTCTTAATCTCCTTGCCCAGCCAGTTCCAGTTCCTCCAACTCCCAGCTTCTCATCCAATCTGTCTCTCCCTGTAACCCTGGCCTCCAGTTGCTGCCCCTCCCCCATATTACTCATCCCTAACCTCCCTCCCCAATTCATCACCCAATCTCAGTGTCATCATTCCCCACCCCCAATTCCTTGTCCAAATCTCTTCACACAGCTATTTCCAGTTCTCCTTCTAACGCTGCTGTCCCATCTGCATTCAAATCAGGCAACTTCATGCTACCAAAAAGGGGGTCTCCTTGAGAACACAGATGAGACTGTCTCCCTGCTCTCAGTTCAGGCATGGCCAGCAGCAGGCTGGAACTGCAATTACAGGGAAAGTCCTGGAGCGGCATATGCCAAGTGCAGATGGAATCTTTGGGGAATGTAGCGGTTAAAATCTAAGACGTATAAGAGCATGTGTGAACTGAGTTTTCAAAGGCTTATAAATTGACCAAATTTGCCATCCCTATGAAAATTTGCCCAAAAGACACATCCCTGACAACGGCCACCTCCTGCCAAATTTCAAATTCCTGGTCCAAAGCATGGGAGCTCTAGAGCTTTCCAAAGAAAAAGGTGGCACGATTTTTTAAACAGTGACCAAACAATGTATTATTTCCTAGGTTCATTCTCAGCAACTGCTCTACCCTTTTGGCCGATATTTTCCAAAAGAAGTCAGCCTCAGGCAGGTACCCAGCATGGAAAGTTTCAGTCTAAATGCTTAAAGTTTGGCAAAGTTCTAAGCAACTGAAGACAGGGTCTTAGAATGGGAAAATGTCAAGCAAACTTAATATAACAGCTCTGTTTATAATTAAATGAAAAAGTACCTTGAAGGACAGAGGTCTCTCAGTGGTTTGGAAATGATTCCAGCCTGAAAGCATTCCTCTACAAACCGCTCAAGCATAGAGTATGAATGTGGCACATCCAGGTTAATATCTGGGATTTCACGGTAAACTCGTTCATAACCCTGCAATATCGGACTTAGTGTAATGAAGTCACATTTTGCTACAAGAAAGATTACCCCTTTTATACTCTGAAGGGATAATAATCCAAGTAATTTATTTATCTTTAAAAAGTATTAAAAATAATTTCAAGGAATCTATACCATCTCAGGTGCAAGTTAACACCACACTATAGAATACAGTATTACCTAGACGTATCTACTTACCTAGGTAGATGAACTGAATTTTAAGAGTCCCAAAAATCAGAGGACCTGACTGTCACCAGCCTAACTTGCCTGTACATTACAGTCGCATGGGTAGTGACATCAGAGAGGGAGCAGTTTCTGGAGTTTTTACTATTCCTCTGATCATTAAGCAAAGAATGGGCCATCTCCCTAACACACCAGCTCGGACAGCTGAAAAATCCGTGCCTGACACAAATCACTTCCCCCAGAGCAAGGGAAGCGGCGCAGACGGTATGGCGGAGATGGAAACTAAATTGTGAATGTGTCACAGAGTGGTTTCCAGTGTATGGGACAACACAGCTATATGCGGTCACTTGTTCAGGACTTATGGCAGAACCACAATTTAATTCAGATATAGCTAAATGATTTTGTTTTTATACGCTAAGTAATTTTTTTTAAAAAATCAAGTAAATCCAAATAAGGTACTTCAGTAAGTATGGCTGGTCAAACTCCATAAAAACATCCCTATTTTATATTGCAACATTATGAAAGATTTAAATTTTTAGTAATTAAAGCACATAATTCAGTAAGACACCTCAAAGTTTCCTTGTTATTAGAACATATTTTAAATTATTCTCAACTCTGAAGCGCCACAAGACAACACTGTTAAAATGCATTTTTACCGCCTTGATTCCAAAATAAAGCAATAAATGTGTAACATCAGCTAAAGCCTATTTGTACAAGTCACCGGAGGGCAAACAGAACCATAGCAGTACCATTGATAACAATGGATCACCATCTACAGTTTAAGGAGAGATGTAAAACAGGAATGACATTTGAAAACACACAATTTTTTGTGAATTACTATTCCAATTCTATTTTGGAAAAATACACTTACTCTTTTCATTTGGTCCAGAGTAATGACAGTAGACGTCCAGAGGGATTTCAACAAATCAAGCATCATTTTAAAGGTTGTTTCTCCAGTTGATTCTAAAACCATCACAATTGCCTAAAATAAAGCAAGACTAAGTGTTTAACTAAAAGACCGTGCAAAAGTACATCTTACAAGAAATGAAAAGTGAATGCTGCAAACAGAGTTGTAAAATTTCCACATGGAGAAATGTATATTTATCACGTGCATACAATGCTAGTATACTACAATATAACAAAAAAGTATGTGGTGGAAAAATTATTTGAGTAAGGATAGGAAGCATAAAAACAAGAAAGATATTACCATAGGAATACAAACCACCAGTGAAGAGGAGAGAAAAAACAAAAGCTTTCTGGACTATTTCTAGAGGTACTCAAAATCACATGACCCTGTACTTGGGCATCAGTTAGCAGCAGTGTGGATGGCTCTACTTTCTGATTTCATGTGTTTGCATCAAACAGACACCACAACGGAGAATTAAAATTTACACACATTTGAAGGGTGTAAACACCACGACAGAAAGAGCTTCTTGAGAACAAAGAAGCAAATTTATAAAAAAGGAAAAATTTAGGTTCAGTATCAGCAAAAATGTACTGACAGAAGGCAGTATTAGACTGTGGAATAGTCTCTCCTCCCTCTCTCAGGGCATTTAAAATAGATTAGACAGTATACCACAGGGAGCAATCCTCCACTGGTGAAGGATTGACTGTATAACTTAACAGAAGTGGTAAAAGACCTATTAAAAAGAGCAATCCATCTGCTTGAAACCTGCTGTAATAAATAGCTCACAGCACTACCAACAAGATGATCTCGGTTTAACAAAACTACAAAACAAGCATGGGTTTTTTCTCGCCATTATTCCACAGCAGACAACTGTGAAATGGCTCTTTCAGTACAACATATCCAGTAACTGTCCTGTTCAGGTAATAAATACAGTTTAATTTTACACCTTCCTGAAGGCACCAACAGTTTACCCAAGCACAAGTAGCATGCACTATACTTAGAGAATTTAGATATATCTGATAACGTTAATAGTTGGGAGCAGAACTTCAGATTCCACTAACATTACTTGCACATCCACCCTGAAATTAAACCTAGAGTCTGCTCATTTATCCACAATTTAAAAAAGTTATAAAAAGGAGTCCGATTTCTGTCTTACTTCATATACAAGTTCATGGTGAAAATGAGGCACTTCTAGTTCCTGAAGGCAACGCTCAGCTTCTGATACATCTCCAGAAAGTAGGTACTCCTTCAGCAACATATCAATCTATTTGGTTTGTTAAAAAACAAACAAAAAAAACACACTAGGTATAATTTACAATCTGACAATCTGACAAATCCACTGCTCAGCTGAGCAACAAGCTAGTGACATGCATTTTAAAAAAAACTTGTATCCCAAACCGCAACTAGTGTTTTAATAAACACACATCTTAAATTGAGAAGTTATGTCTAACTATACAGATAGTATGAAGCTGAACACTTATCTAGACACCATTTCAAAAGATGCAGCGTCTGCATACACATGTTTAACATGCAGCCCATAATTAGAAATAATGCTTGATAAAATGCACATGGGACAATCAAGCTTAATATGGCTAAGATCAAACTCATTCTCTTTTCTCCAAATCTTCTCCCATTTTTTGTTACTTATGGTGGCATGATCATTCTCCAACTAAGCCAGATTTGCAACCTCAAAGTCACAGACTCCTTCCTTTAAATTTTCTACTAGTATCTGGAATGTATCCCAAGCTTGCTGCTGCTTCTTCCCTATCCTAATTGGAGTCTCTGAAAAAGCTACCCTCCAGCCATGAGGCCAAAAGGGAGACTAATTAAATACAATCATCCCCACATCTGGATTTCTCAGGCTTCTTATCTTTTTTAAGATCATAAACTCTTAATTGCAGGTATTATCTTTAGGGTGTTCATTGTACAAAACAAAGTACTACACAAGCCTACAGAGGACAAACATCCTTTTCAGTCAATGTAACGGTCAACATCTTTAATTCATGATAAATACACATTTCAAAACAGCAGAATACGATTTAGGTGCAGGGGTAATACATCTCTTTCCTCCCTCCTAGTCAATCTGCATGAGCGTTGATACACACACACACCCACCCCCACAAGACAGGTATTGTAAAAATTAGCTACCTCTTTAACAAGATGTTTTACAGATTGCTGTCCACCGCCTGATCCCCATACACTGTCTATACGCTTTCCACCTTTTTTCATACTCAACAGCACAGTAGCTCGGTCCAATGCAGCTCTATAAAGCAAAGGTTGTATTACAAAATTATTTACATAAATTCACTACAGAGGAGGGAAGAAAGAAAACAAGGAGTTTCCCTTATGTCAAGACTTGGTTCTGTGAGACAGGATATGTTCCAAATTTCATCATCATCATCAACTATCCTTCCCTCATTTGACACAAGATGACAGAACACCTACTTGCTTCTACTCAACTAGTAATAACTTCCCACAATAAGAGACTAGGGAGATCCAACTCCAAGAAAGTTTACCCCTTATTTCAAGGCAACCCAACAAATATACATCACAAATGCCATCCTCTTCACATGATGTGCTCACACTTCATCACAGATAGTTCAGAAGACACGGTCTGTTCAGCAATGCAAGGTCCACACTGACAACCTGGAACTGACAGCCATCAGGTGAGCTTCCTGAAGATCTCTTCCCCACCAACTTTTCCCTTCAGCTACATTTTGATAGGGACATAGTAGTAGCAGCCTACCTGAACTGTCAAGGCAGGACCTCAGACATTCCTCTACCCAGTGGAAAAGCGTATTGGATTCCCTCTAGAGTAAAATCTGGGGTCTCTCAAGGCCCTGCATTTGCTTAGTAATCTAAGTCTCCAAACACGGGGCTAAACCTAAAGTGCCTTTACCTTGGAGAATGGTTAGTCCCTTTGGGTTCAAAGAGTTCTGGGACGCCCGAGGTCTGGAGACAAAACGGTGCTTCAGCAGAGGAACACCATACACAGAGTTTCTAAAGAGGCAGGGGAACTAGGGAAGCTTGCCACCTCACTGGGAAGAGGAACTGGGTGTGAAAAATCTTAGATCCAGATTGTCTACCATATACCTGAACAGGGAGGAATACTCAGCCATTTATTCAGGCTGATCGTAGCCATATTATGGAGAACTGTACTCACTATTTGGGAGTGGCTAGGTGAGGTGAGAAGTAACTGTCTCAAAAGTGGAGGTGGCCATGCTAAATGTATGAATATACTTAATTCCTGGGACCAAAAATCCTTCGACCACAGTAAAATGATTTTCATAATTGAATGACAAAGTTTTCACACTTGGGTGCCCAAAGATAGGTAACCTAAACAGTAGCCTAGTTTTCAGAGGTCCGAAGTACCAACAGCACTAACTTATGTCAATGGAAGTTATGAGTGCTCAACACCTCCAAAAACCAAGCCTGAAAAATCAATACTACACACAAAAACTGATGTTTCCAAAATCTGAAGGTATTTTTCAAAAGTCTCTTTTCCTCCCCACCCCTTGCACATAGGCTGCTCCTTCAAACAGTTTTGACTCTGAAACTGAGTCCTCATATACATATAGGACAACAGAAAGTTTGAGAAAGTGCTGCACAGAATGTCAAACCTTCACAAGACAAGAAACAAAAAGGGTTTAATTGGTTATTTCACAAAATCCTTATGTTGCTTCTCCTGACGCTGTATTTACCTACTGGTCATATGAAGTCTTTTTCTAAAGCAAAACGCTCCCTAATAGTTTCTGATTTGATCAGAATTTTTCTTAAATATAAGTTAGTAAACTCTTTTTAAGTGGCTGAGGAAAGGTTAAACTGTAAGAATTCAGTTTGCAAAAATGCTAGTCAAATTTAGTTTACTGCCGAGTTAAATAGATTCAACTAGATACTAAGATCGAGTTTGCCAGAAACGTTTAGTATCTCTTGGTTTAAAAGTCTGGGGCGGTTGTGTGTGTGACAGGCTTCCTTTGAGGGTTTTTGTTGTTGTTCTTGACTTGTTTTTATAATAGAAGCGAGTGGCCACACCTACTTTATTTTAAAATACCAAATTACTGGTTTGCTTGCTCAGAATTAAAAAAAAACAAAAAAAACTGAACTATAAACGCTAACTACAAAGAGCAATCACTTACCGAGCCTGGACACAATCCACGGTGCCTTTGTAGCTGTCTATGTAAGTACTACATAAAATCCCATCTCCAACTGCTCTAGCAATAAATTGGCCCACTAACTGCAACAGAAGAGAAATATTTTTGAGACACTGAATTCCACAGGACTTCCGAACAGACATTTTAAACTTGCATAGTTATTTAGGTTTGGTTTTTAAAATGTGGAGGTTATTCACCTTGAGTAGTAGCTGGAATTACTCAAGACGTATGTCCCTATGGGTGCTCCACTTTGGGTGCACACAGACCCCATGCATCTTTGATTGGAGATTTTCAATAGCAGTGCCCATTTGATCTAGTCATGAGCTTGTCATCCTCATGCCCCATACCAAGGATATACACAGATGTACAGGCATGCCACCCTCAGCTCATTCTCTACCATGAAGTCACACAAGATAAAACTTTGAAGCACAGGGGAAGGAAGGCAGGTAGTGGAGTACCCATAGGGGCACACATCTAGAAGAACTCCAGTGACTGCACAAGATGGGTAACTTCTCTTTCTTTTAATATTGGCCTGTGGGGGCTTCACTTCAGGTGACTCCTGAGTGGTATCCCTTGAAGAAAGACAGGTCTTTGGAGCTGAATCCAATACTGAAGAAAGGACTGCCGTGACAACCACCACCAATCTAGAAGCATGTATCAACGTGTACTGCACGGAGAAAGTGTGCACTGATGCCCAGGTTGCTGCTTAGCAAATTGAACCATTGGTACATTTAACAGTGCCAGAGTTAGAGGATGGAGAGACAGACCAGTATCCTGAGACAGCAGACAGGAAATGGTCAGAAGCTGAAAAGATGGAAAAGAAGCAAGGCACATCAGGTAAGCGTACCAAACCAGCCTCAGTCAAGTTGGTGCAACTAGAGTAACTCTGGCTTTGTCTTGATTGATCTTGTGCAATACCTTCGGAATCAATGGTGTTGGAGGATATGCAGAGAAGGCCCCTCATTTCAACAAATGAGAGAGACATCTCCCAAAGACTGATGGCCCAGACTCTCGCACTTCGTTGGTGGCAGCTGCAAAGATGTCCACTTGCAGAAACCTCCAGGTCAGAAAAATCTGAGGGTTCAAGGGTCCAGCTCCCACTCAATCCTGGGAGAATTCAGAGCATCAGTCATGGTGTGCTGAGAGAATGTGATTGGCGATACACCAATTCCATAGCTTTATTGCTTCAGCACAAAAAAGGGGATCTCATCCCTTTCTGATGATTTAGGTAGAATGTTCAGGCTACATTGTCTCATGACTGACAGACTGGCTTCTGATTAAGGAAGGAAAGTGGATACAGGCATTTCTGATTGCCCATAATTCTCGGAGGTTGATGTGTAGGAGAGACTCGAGACAACCATTTGTTCTGGATAGTGTGTTCCCCCACCAAAGCAGAGCTCCCCATCCCACAACTGGTGCATCCAAAATTATGGTAGATGATAGGCAGAGGGTGGGTAAAGGAACTCCTGCACAGCCTTTGGATAGGTCGTTCTACCAAGTGAATCTAGCACCCAACCAGGGATAGACACCAACTTGCCTAGACCATGTTTGTTGGGGATATAAACAATTCTGGAGCAACCTGGACACAGCAAAGATGTAGCTGGCATGTTGTGTGACAAAAGTATAACCTGCCAAACAACCCAGCAGTTGGAGGCAATTTGTTGCCATTGGTATGGGGGTTTATTTTGAATTTTGGCAGTAAGTCTTGTCAGTGTCCTAAGTCTGTCCATAAGGAGGCACACTCTGAATGTTACAGCATCCAAAGAAGCTTCTATGAAATCTGCTGAAGTATAGTTAGAATGGATTTTTCTGTATCATTTTGAGGTTCTAGGTTGCAGAATAGGATCATGGCTGTCTGTATTGCAGAGAGAACTTCAAGTTCTGGTCATGCATCATACAGCCAATCGTCAAGGTAGGGGAAGAGTCTTCTTCTTCACTGATAAAGGTGAAGAGCTATTACTGTTAGGACTTTGGAAATACCCTGGCAGGCAGATGAAAGGCTGAAGCGGAGCACTCTATACTAGATACTTTTCACGTTGCCATTCACTCCTCTTACAAAAAGGTATGTGCCCTGGAGGTCGAGGCTGCAAAACAATCTCCGGAATTAATGACAGAAGTATATTTGCAAGAGTTACCATTCTGAATTTCTGTAATTTCATGAAGGTGTCTGGAAGTCAAGATCTAATATTGATCTCCATCCCCCCTTCTTTTTTGGGGACCAGAAATTACTTGGAGTAAAACCTCTTCCTTCTGTGGCAGACTAGAACAAGTTCCATGGCTCCTATGCATAGAAGGGAGGTGGTCTCCTGTCTCAGCAAATGTTCGTGAAAAAGAGAGTCCCTAAGGAGGGACAGGGAAATGGATTGAGTAACTTGAGGTTATAACCTCCAAAACCCATTTGTCAGATGTAATTTGCTCCTATACAGGTTGAAAACTGGAGAAACTATCTCCAAAGGAAGGGAAGCAGGTAGTATGTTGTAACTGAAGAATCCCAAGATAGAGTTGTTCTGAACCCTCAACTACACCACCAAATTTGAGGTTTAAATGACGACACAAGGCTGGCTGATATTAGTGGTCATAGCGGGAGGCCTCTTCTTTTGATATCCTGGTCTCCAAGGCAGTTTGGCTGGTCTATGAAAGCTGAAGAATTGGACCAGATGGGATTTCTCTGTCGTTTGGGCTCTGCTAAATTTTCTTTTATCTGCAGTTGCATATAAACACCGAAACCTGTGTGTGGCCCTTGAATCCAGTAAAGGTGTGCAAGGATTAGTTGGTGGACTCACTCAAGCATCAGTCCACCAAAGGGAAGGTCTTCTTCAGTAATCTAAACCTCCTTAGGCAATCCGACAGCTGCAGCCAAGATGCTTGACATGACAATAGCAGTTGAGATGGAACAAGCTGCAGTGTCAACTGCATGTAGGGAAGCTTGCAAGACGGTCCGTGCTGACAGATGACCCTTAGTTATGGTAGCCTAGAACTGTTCCCAGTGTTCTGAAGGAAAGATGATCATTTAAAAAAAGTATTGAGTTTGCAATATTTGGTGTGATCATAGTTTGCCATCAAAGTCTGATAATTCTCTTTTCTAAACTGGAGCGTTGCACAGGAGAAGTTTTTACACCCAAAGAGGTTGAGGTGCTTTTGGTCTTTACTGACCCAGTGTAGACTTAGTAGGATGTTGTCTACCATGCTCCATAACAACCCTCACAACTCTTTTAGTTGTGAGGAGGGTACGAGAATAAAAAAGTCCCAAATGGTCGATCTTGATGGTGACTGAAGCTCTTTTGACGTAGGCTCTATCTTAGGAGATCCAGAATGCTTGTTCTTGGAAGATCTAAGATTATGAAGACCTAGGTGGGGGTTGGGTAGTCAACACATCACCCTGATCACTCGGAGACGGATGTCCAGGGCAGTGGGGGTGGTATCTAGGCCTGGATTCAAGGCTGGTCAGAGGCAGTATTCCATCACGAGGAGCCAAAGTTTAATCTATTTTTTTCCCTAGATCTACTTTTAGAAACTGAGGTCTTGCACTTGGCTGAGATGTGGGTATCTCCCACACACCAGATATGGGATACACTTGAAACCCAGGGATACTGGAATACCTGGTCGACAATAACCCCTCAGGCAAACCCCTCAGAATTTGGGGGGCAGGGTATTAAATACAAACCCCCCAAATAAACTTAAAAGGTATTTGTGATGGTTCTCTGGGTACCCAGGATTGAGAGTCACCTTGTTACCCACCTGCCTGCAACACAATGAAGTCTTGCTTGTGGTAACTGGGTGTTTGCTTGAATGGCTAACAGGCTGGTGGTGTTAGGGAGCTCTCTCCTCTTGGCTGTTCAAGCCCTGTTTTTCCCTTGCAGATGAACAGGTGTACCCCAGCCCCAGAGTCCCTTTGAATCAACCCCTTGTGATATCCAGCCCCTGTCTCTGGCTAATCAAAGAAATCCCAGATCCTCTGCCCCCAAAGGAGCAGTGTACCCCAGTTCACTAGTTTTACCTTAAACTACTGTTCCTGTAAATAAATAAATAAATAATTTTTTTTTTTTTTAAATACACACATCACATGTGAGCACTTACAACAAAACAAAAGTAGGTTTACTTAAAAAAGAATACAGAGTTAACTAAGAACCGGAGAGTGGTGGAAATCAAAACCTACAAACCTGTCTACGCTTATTAACAGTTACCTTTCCTATTTAATAAAGTAGGTTTTCCCTGCCAAGTTCAGTCTGTTAAAGAGCTGGCCGGCTTCACAGGAACCAATTTTTCCATGAGAACATCCCTGCTCCCAAGATGTCTCCTCACTGAAAGGAGGAAGAGTGTCTTCCTCCTTTCTCTCCGATATTGAATCAGTCTTTTGTCTTTATTCAGACAGGCTGAGCCTTTGTAAGGTTTTGTCTGTTGTAATGTTCCTTTTTTACCCCATTGACAGTTTTAGGATAGAGCAAGGCTAAACAACCTAGTCTTGCTTTACATCATAACAAACTAGGCTGATATGACAACTCCCTCCTGCTTGAATGGGACACCACAGAAACATATTGTCCCTGACTAACTTTTATATCAAGTCTATAAAGCATATTTTCTATATAAATATATTCTTTATATATTACATGTACGTACAGCTTGCAACAATTATGAACCTTGACAAGTTAAGAGCTTTCCGTAGATACCTTACCATGCTACTCTTGATGAATAATAAATACCCTGCAAGACATGCGTTTGTCAGGCTGAGATAAGAGTTGTTTGCAAAGAACAGGAGACCCTCTGTGCTACAGTACGATTATCAAAAGAACTAAAACTGAACTAAAGACTTGAGGCCAAGCTAGAGCAAAGCTGAAGTGTGCACAGTAGAAGCTCTGTCTCAAGCCATTAGGCAGCTGAGAAGGAACTGAGGGCAGTTTGCCTTCACAGCTTTATGTATCCTTGCAATGGGGCACAAGAATATCTGGAGTGCCAGCAAGGGCTAAAAACGAGCACTACTACAAACAAAAAAATCTCTGCTCAGAGGTAAGTGGGGCACCTCTAGGGAGACTACTTGAATAAGGGTTAGTTTTGCTACACAAATTTAAAAAAACAAAACGGGAAACTTCTCAAATTAAAACATCAATCTGGGAGTTAGGAAGGGGCGTGGTGAGACTGAAGGGAGCTATAGCATATAAATGATAATGCCACTAAAATACATAAACTGCTTCATGAAATAAGGTGTAAATTGAACAACACTAGCCATGGAGGCCAAAAGTCAAAGATCTGGTGCAAAGGGCTGTCTGTAGGCATACCTGTGGCGCTCTGGGAGAATCCAACATCAATTCAGGTAGTTCTTTAAGTAGCCTATCAAACGATTTTTCCACATCACTTGTGCTCACTACTGTCCCACAAAGGTCAGAGAGGAGCTTAGATGTCATTTCTCTGTGACTAGCCTTCCCCTCTAATGACAATGATACGGCCAACACTGGCACACTGTATTTCATTTCACCAAGATTTAAATCCCTCAGCATCTCCTAAATAAGATTTGAAGAAAATATATTAACATTTTCATAAAAAAAAATATTAATAAAACAGTTTAAAGATTTAATTTAAAAAAATTCAAATGATCACTACAAGGGCAGAGAGAAGGTTGTTTGGATGCTTTAACTGTGCATTTCCATATCAGCACCTCAATAATCTCGTTTGTAACTGGATGTGACTTCCCATGTTAAGTGTGATGTATTTTTAAAAATACAACTTATCAGACATACCGCAACTTCATTAGTATCTCCATGTTCAAAGTATTCCTGTAACATTGGTGTTAAAGTTTTATCAAATGCTCTTTCATCCAAAGGTGGAACTACAGTTTCATAGACACAATTCTCCTGTTTAAAAATAAATAAATAAAAGAAATCAGATACTGAATCTAAACAGCAACAGCATCTCCCTTGCTCTCTTTATTGCAGAGCTTAAATGCTTTTAAATCATCTTTGGTACTAGCAGCCAAGATTTCTATCAGCAATGACTGCATCATGCCTTTGTAATCAGTTTGTGGAAGCTGATCAGTTCTGGAACAAAGATTACATTTCCCTAAAATATAAAAGCTGTATTTACAAGTAAGTAACATTGTAACTTCCAACATTGTAAGCACCTAGGATTCTTCTGGCACCATACTGTTAGAAACAAAGTTGTCATGTACTATATATGGAAGGGAAGGAGACAAACTCATATCCAGCCCTGGAGGAAGGCAAAAGCTTAACCAGACACCTTGTATCTTTCCCCACAAGCTACTCTACCCTTCCCAATCAAGAAGCAGCCTGTTTTTCATAACAGCTACACGGCCGACAGCCAATAACATGTAAAAAGTGTGAAGGAGGGAAAGGACTGGGCATTTAATTTTCAGGGTGTTTGGTAAAGTCAGTTAGAGGCACTCACAAGGGGGAAGAGTTCATGCAGCAATTGGCCACTGGGAAGCCTGACCTTGCAGGGCAATATAAGCCTAAGAACCAGAACTCCAGCACAGCCAATCTTGCTCCATATCCCTCACTTCCCCACTCCTCTTGGACTGACCTGCTAATATTCAGAGGTAAGCAGGTAGATAGGGATGTGTGTGTGTGGAAGGAATGGAATGGAAGGACAATTTGGTAACAGATTATGTCGAGTTGGGGGGGGACAGAAATAGATATATTACTGTCCTGGACCACCATGACAGAGTCTGTGCTGCACACTGCATATGGTATTAAGTTGTAGTTCAGAGGGGAACTGCAGCCTCCATGTACAAGAGAGCCATCACAGGGAAGAGTACAGCTTGGACAAAAGGTGTAACATGGTGCTGCCTAATGGGGAAGCTAAATAGGAAATCAATACTTAACATGGTCTGAACATAGCAGTTCGGCTTGATTTTTAAATTTTGGGAGTTTGTTTGTTTTTTTTAACTGGGTCTATAACTCCCTGTGATCCACTCAACTGTAAGCACTGGAAGGGAAAGCCACACTTGAGGGTGGACATTGACACACTTATCCTAGGCCCCAAATCCCCAAACTTTTCACACAGTCATGCCCCCTGCTTACCCCGTCTGCATCCCTGCCAGGAGCACACCTTCCCCACCCCCCCGGCCCCCAGGGTGGGCACAGACAGGAGCAAGGAGGCAAGGCTGGGGCCACAGCTGGGGGCAGGGCTAGGGCCAGGAACAAACCCACAGTTGGAGTAGGGCTAGGTGGTGCCTCCCGCCCCACCCACCGTGGGGGCTGGCCCAGGCCCCGCCATGCCCCCCCGAACATTCCTCAGCACCCCCTCTAGGGGATGCACCTCAGAGTTTGGGGACCTCTGTCCAAGGCTCTTTAAATATTGGCTGTAGCCTTAGATTCAGACTATCTATTCTCAGCCCTCAACAAGCTACTATACACTATTTGAGAGGGCCAAAATACAAGTGACTACTTTATGCATCTCTCTACTTAGCTGTCAAGATACACCCCCTTAAGCTGTGACACAGTGTGGGCAGCGGTGCCAACACCACCGTTAAAGAACCTTTTGACTTCAGCCATTAGATCTATATTTTACCTTCAAAGCAGAGCATCAAGCTGATTTCCTAGATTTGATGTGCACCATGGTATTAAAAAGCCACAGTATTCCACCTTGAAATTGATTTTATCTTGGTTCATACCCAAATACTGAAGATAAGGAACATATAAGCAGTTTTTCCCCCTCTACCAACTGCACAGAGTCTGTACAATGAGCGACTGCAGAAAGTTAAAAACAAAGCTGTCCTGGCTTTGAACTCCTTCAGAGACCTGAAGTATTTAGTGTTCATGTCTAATAATTTAAAACAAAGAAGAGAAAAAGCTACCACGCATACTTGCAGTTATACCTCTGTGTCTCTAGCATAAAGTAGATGCCAAGAACCTGATTTGTCTACTACTCTTTTTCTCCATATGCAATAGGCGCCTAAAAAATCAGTACCAACACTAGCAGTAATGAAATACTGAAAATGGAATTTGTTTTCACTTCTGTTGATACCAACTTAACATTGCAAAATATTATTATAGTAAGAGATCCTGATGGTTTACTACAAAACTAGCATTCACAAAACCAATACAAGAATGTAGGCATTTTTATAAAAAGATTAAATTGTAATTAAAATGTTTATTAATTTGGTAGTTTTTTCTTAGAGGACCGAGAAAAACATTTTTTCTTGAATTTTTAAATTTAAATACAGAATTAGAGCTTAATCCTGCAAGGTGCTAAGTACCATGGCCCTGATCCAGCAAAGCACTTTAAGCAAAATGTTTAATTTAAGCATGAGTAGTCCCACTAGACAAACCAAGACCACCTTAGTAGGCTACTCCAACCTCTTTGTAAGTGAATGGGCCTACTCATGCGCTTAAAAAGTTAAAGCATCCACTTTATCAGGGTCAGAGTGTTTAACATCTTTAGGATCAAGCCTTTACAAATGTCACATCAATTACAGTGAATAAAAAGGCTATTTCCATCTCAAACTTGCACTGTATATAATAAAACATTTGCTCACCTGGTCATCATCGTAGTTGGGATCTTTAATATCCACTTCCTCCACGTCATATACTTGCCCTGGTGTACCCCAAACACCTTTGCCGCCTGCACCACCTGGCAAAACATGCAAAAGTGAAAAAAGACAGCCAGCTTATGGTAAATGCTGGGTTGAGCTCAAAGTATCTCCATACTATCATGCCTCATTCGGGCACATGTGTGTAAGTCTCAGATTTTCCAGACTATGCAGAAATATTTGCAGAATATCTTTCCACTCCCAGCCATTTGGGCTTTGCACCACTTGAGTCAGGAAACTGTAAGCAACATGAGGCAGCATGAAGAGTGCTGAAGGTTGAAATAATTGTGCTTTAAGTTATTAAAGGGAGTATCCCGGATATAAATTCCATCGTAAGCCTCAAGATCTGTAGATTGTTATATCATAATGTACAATACAATGTAGTATCCTAAAGAAGTTGATTGTGCTTTATATAATGAATAATGCATGTGTGCATGCACACCACATCCATTATTGAAGATCGCTATCTGCTGTGGCCATCCCCATACAACCATTAAAAAAAGAACTATTGAATGGGAGGATAGACAGAAAATGTTGTTTCGGGAGAAGAGAATCCTAATGGAAAAACATGCCTTTAGACAAGAGCCCATAAGCAGAGACACTTCTTAGTAGGCTACACCAACCTTTCTTTGGTAGTCCCCTTCCTTTTCCAGACCGGGATCGTCTGTCCAGAAATTTTCCCTTTGGACTTGTTGGTGCAGTGACTCCACTTTTCAGTGCCTCTCCATTATCACTAACAGAGTCTCCTCTCCCAGAATCACGAGAAGAATTTTTCCTTAACCGCCTCTTTGCTCTAGCATTAATTTTAGCTTCATTAATGGAAGATGCAGCTATCCAATTTCCATTGATTTCTGTCTTTATTTCCTCACTTCCACCATTTTCTTCCTCACCAGAAAATGGAGTGTCACTTAGATGATCAAGTTCTCAAAAGAGAAAAGACACAAAGAAAAATCTAGTTACTGCTTTAAGCATATACAAAATATTCATCATGATTTTAAAAAATTACATGTTTAAAATGGAAACCTGTAATATAAAAGAAACATTAGATGTAAGGTTGCTGAACCAAAGTACCTGACCACATTCCAATTACTTTTATTTAAGGCAAATTTGTTGCTTTTCCATTGCCGGTGCAGTGGCATAATGGGAAATAAAGCTCTCCCTTTCTCCTCTGCCTAGGCTATATGCCAAAGAACATGTATGTGGGTGGGTGAAGAGCAACTGAATGAACAATTTACAAATAGATAAACCAAGTAAAGAGGTTCTGTAAACAAGCATGGAGCTACTTTGGTTTGTAATGTCCCTCGAACTCAGTAAAACATCCATTTTCCTTAAGTAAAATTCACAGAGTACCACTGGCTGCAATAGAAATAAGAGATAATAAAGTGCAAAAGTAAAAACTTGGAAGTTTCTCAGCATGCCACCAATTAAAAACTGGCTTATTGGTTGATAAGCAGTAAAACAACTTTTTTAAAAAATTGGAATCTTTACCTAGGTGCGACGGCATACAAATAGAAAGTGTTTCACTAAACTTTATTGGGCTGGTTCTGCAAACACTCCCGGACACAATGCTTACACCTGGGGTTTACTTACCCTCTTATCTCCCACAATGCCCTTCCCCAGCCCAGGTTTACAACTCAGCCACCAAAAAACTACTCTTCCTAGCGATCCCTGCTCTCTTGCTTCTCAGGAAGAGACTGGGTGAGAATTACCCTGAGCCAGCTTTGCCCTTACTACTGAAGAGAGAGTTGTGACTATATAAAAAAAAAAAAAGATGACCCTCTATTATTGCGGCAGCCACCATTATACAATGGCAATAAATCTTGCGCAAAGTATGCCTTGTTAGGTATCACTGGAAAAGTTGTGATCTGTTGAACAATGTTATCTTGTTTATATTCATGTATTATCACTGTATATGAAGTTATGAATCTTTGCTATGTGTTTGTATCTCAAACATGTGTTCCTGGGTAACATGCCCAAGACAAATTTAAATCAAAGCCAGCCAGTTATGGTTGACAGGCCATTAAAGAGAATCAACTCTTCCTGAGGATACCTCAGAGCATGTAGACAACGAATGCCTCACGACTCAGCAAGGCACATAGAACATATGATCCCGGACTCCATGTCTGAGACAGTAACTTTCCATGCACATGGACTGAGGGATATAAATTGGAGAGTGTGACATTTCTTTGCCTCTTTCCTGTTCTACATTTCTGGACTGTGATTTCTAACAAAAAAAGTTTTGAACAATGGACTGAGGACCCCAATATTTGAGAGGCACCAGAGAAACTTTTTACAAACTGGCAGATTTAACATCAACCCTATTATCCTGATATACATTACAGCTAACTTCAGAATTTGTAGATGATTCACGTTAACCATTTAATACCTTCTTTTTTATTACTAAATCTTTAGTTAGGTTACTAAAGATTGGCTGCAGCGTGGTATTTGGTGAGATCCTGTAAGTACATGTTGATCTGGGGTGTGTGTGTCTGGCTCCTTGGAGTTGGAAGAACCTAATATATGCTATTTCTGGTTTTAATGGTCATTTATCACAGAAGTCTGGGTGGTGCAGGAGGGGCTAGAGTGCCTGAAGGGGACTGTCTCTGGCTTCATAATAACTAGTATAGTACTCTGAAAGCACACATTGTTTATTGGCTTGGTGATAGAATATACCACCAGTCTGCGATACATGCCCTGTATTTTGGCAATATGACCTGAGATTGGCACTCTTAGTTGTATACCAGGCAGCGTGACAAGAGTGAAGCTACAGTTAACCCTTGTCATTCAATTCTGGTCTCAGTCTCTAGATCAGTAATGTGGAAATCTTCCCAGAAGTACTCCTCAACCTGGAAGGGCCAACACATTGTTACAATGCTGAAACATTACATTCTTACAATTAACCCTAACATGACTATTTTAAAAAAAAAGAAATTTGAACAAAGGCTATTGAGAAGATACTTTTTCCCTTTCGTGCACAAACAGCTTACCTTTATAATTCTGTAAGCAACTAGACCACAGTGAGAATTAGTCACTTCATTAGACTAAGAATATGTTAAACAATTAAGCATTAGTTTTGGCACTGGGCCATACACAATTACCGGTATGTTTTAAGCTCTATAGTCTTGCCATCCACTACACAGCTGGGTAAATGCATTAAGTGCAGTTTGAGAAGAGTAACTAGAAGTTTCTCTCTAAAAAGTTTCAGAGTAGCAGCCGTCTGTATCCGCAAAAAGAAAAGGAGGACTTGTGGCACCTTAGAGACTAACAAATTTATTTGAGCATAAGCTTTCATGAAGTGATCTGTAGCTCACGAAAGCTTATGCTCAAATAGTCTCTAAAGTGCCACAACAAATTTAACAAATTTATTTGAGCATAAGCTTTCGTGAGCTACAGATCACTTCATGAAAGCTTATGCTCAAATAAATTTGTTAGTCTCTAAGGTGCCACAAGTCCTCCTTCTCTAAAAAGTGTTTAAAATTTAAATAAATAGTTTAAGTACAAATAGAAAAAAATATTTCCTTTTGAAGTTTCACTGCAATAAAAAGCATTCTACATCAGTAAGTCTTTACCCATAATGAAAAAGTGAACCAGTTTAGCGAAATGGATCTAGTTAAACTGATACAACCACTAATGTAGACACACTTAAAACTTTTAATCTTTGCTTATTATAAATTTATCTTAAAACTGATCATCTAAAGCAATTTAAACAAAAATTAATCTGCTTACAGTGCACCTACATTAGGTTTATCGCCAATAATTTAGTTAAGTCAGTCCAGTTTTCTAGTATAAAGAAAGCCTGAGACTCATTGTATTTACTGAGCAAGTACAACCAGTTCATCTTCTATTAACTTTATGATCAGGATGAGTTTAGCAATACAAAGGCTTTTGTAAAAGGAAATCATGCCTCTCCAGTCTAATAGAATTCTTTGAGAGGGTCAACAAGCATGTAGAGGACGAGGGTTATCCAGTGGATATAGTGTACTTGGACTTTCAGAAAGCCTTTGACAAAGTCCCTCACCAATGGCTCTTAAGCAAAGTAAGCAGTCATGGGATAAGAGGGAAGGTCCTCTCGTGGATCAGTAACTGTTTAAAAGATAGGAAACAAAGGGTAGGAATAAATGGTCATTTTTACAGTGGAAAGGCGTAAATAGCAAGGTCTCCTGAGGATTTGTACTGGGATCAGTGCTGTTCAATGTATTCATAAGTTATGTCGAAAACGGGGAGAACAGTTAGGTGGCAAAGTTTGCAGATGGTAGAAAATTACTCAAGATCGCAGTCAGCTTTGGGCTTAGCTAAGAGTTACCAAAGAATCTCACAAAACTAGGTCACCAGGCAACAAAATGGCAGATGAAATTCAATGTTGATAATGCAAAGTGCCGCACATTGGAAAACATACTCCCAACTATACATACAAAGTGATAGAATCTAAATCTGCTGTTACCACTCAAAGATCTTGGAATGATCGTGTATAATTCTCTGAAGACATCTGCTCAGTGGTAGTCAAAAAAGCTAATAGAATGCTAGGAACTATTAGGGAAGGGATAGATAATATGACAAAAAATACTGTTGCCACAATATAAATCCATGGTATGCCCACACCTTGAATACTGAGAACAGTTCTGGTAGCCCCATCTCAAATAAAGATATATTAGAAATGGAAAGGGTGCAGAGAAGGGCAACAATTAGAGGTATGGAACTGCTTCCATATGATACTCTTGGGGGAATTCTGCGCCACTGTACACATGCAGAATTCATGTCCCCTGCAGATTCCCTTCCCTCCCCCAACCCCCGCAGAAAATACATTTTGCCAGAGAGAGTCACTGCAATTACATCTTTCGCACACCAGGGGCTGCTGTGGCACCACAAGAGTGAAGCCAGCTCACAAGCCAAGCTAGCCAGCCACAGAGAGGGAGGAGGCAGAGGTCAGGTGGAGGTGGCACAGGACACGGGGGAGGGACAGACAGAGCAGGGCGCAAAGGGCTTCTGGGGGGTGAAGGGGAGTCATGCAATGGCATTCAGGAGGGCTAATGGGGGGGACAGACTGAGGTGGGGACACAGGAGCTAATGGGGTGACAGCACTGAGCCAGGGGGCTGAATGGGAGGGGGGTGCAAGGCCACATGGGGACAGAGGCACATGTGCCTGACTCAAATTTCTTTACTAATATGATTAGTAAGGAATCTATTTGTCAAAAAACATTTCCTGAATCTTTTTTGTTGTCTGTATTGTTACAGACATACTTACTGACATGTATTTTGAAATAAATTACCGAAATAACTGAAATTAGCGCAATTATATTGCGTTTCTTTGACAAAGAAAATATGCAGAATTTTAAAATATTGTGTGCAGAATTTAATTTTTTGGTGCAAAATTCCCTCAGGAATAATATGAGGAGAAATTAAAAAGACTGAGACTGTTCAGCTTGGGAAAGAGATGATTGAGGGGATATATGACAGAAGATTATAAAATCATGAATGATGTGGTGGAAGTGTTAGTTACCCCTTCACATAACACAAGACCGAGTGCTCACCCAAAGAAATTAATAAACAGCAGATTTTAAACAAACAAAAAGGAAGTATTTCTTCACACCAAACGGTCAACCTGTGGAACTCATTGCCAGGAGATGTTGTGAAGGCCAAAAGTATAATTGGGTTCACAAAAGACAGGCCCACCAATACTTATAAACCAATATGATCAGGAACGCAACCTCATGCTCTAGAGGTCCCTAAATCTCTGAATGCCAGAAGCCAGGACTGGATGACAGGGGATGGATTACTCAATAACTTGCTGTGTTCTGTTAATTCCCTCTGCAGCATCTGGCACTGGCCACTGTCAGAAGACAGGATACTGGACTAGCTGGACTACTGGTCTGACCCAGTACGGCCATTCTTATGCTATGTTCCTATTATGTTTCGTCTGCTTTTAATCCTAGGAACAGTTACGTGAGAGCAAAAAATATCTGCTTCAAAGGAGTTTATCTGCTCTTGTTTAATCTTGACCTGAAGTCATTCCTGTGTTTGTGACATCACAGCTAGTTGCTGTGACAGTAATTATAAACATCAGATTATTATGACTTCAAAGTCCCTATCATCTACTATTCTAGTTAAGCAACCACTTGGGATGTTGCAAACAAAAAACAAACAGGAGGAAAAGAGGAAATCCTAAGGAACAGTCATTTTATTTGCATGCAATTATTCCAACTTTAAACGAAATACATCAGGCAGAAAATGCAATATAGTTAGAAGTGTTTCTAAATAGATTTCTCCAAGTTTGTCATGAAGATCTTTAAAGAAATATGTTGATTAAAAAAAGCCACCACACTGCAATTTACAAATAAAAGGAATTCCAGCGTCAATTAAACAGTACTTTCAATACAAAAACTAAGGTTATATACCTGTTGGGTTAACATTATATATCTGCTCATTTTCTACTTCCATAGTTGTTTAATTGCACTTCAACTGAACTGACTGTAAACAGAAATCTTAATGCTTTCCTTTCAGGCCTAACAAAAGAAAGAAAAAAGGAAAAAACAAACAAACAGTAAATGCAATTACATTGAATACAGAAATATATTTGATTTTTCTAGTGGACTAATGTCTAACTAAATTAGAATATTAGGAGTCTTTCACCTAGTCAACATTCATTTTCACTCAAATTCAAGTATTAAGACTCATTTTTATTTTTTAATTAGCATTAACTTACTGGTACTGTAAAAATATTCATGGGATGATGAAAATGTAACAGAGAGAGCACTATTTATAAACAGCACAGATAAAGTACAGAACTGTAACACCAAAACTAAGGTCAAGTCTACACTTAAGTTTTACCAATATACGTTGGTTAACAAATAAAAAAAAAAAAACAAGAACAAAAACAATCCCCCCGCCACCCTAAAAAAAAAACCCAACCCCTAACTGACCTATGAGGTTGGTGTACTGGTAAAAACCCTAGTGCAGGCACAGTTACACCAACGAAAAGGTGACTCATACCAGTATAGTTATTCCCCTTCCCACACATGACTATCTATATGGGTTTAAAGCATCCTTTGACACCAACTCCCCTACTGTGGATGCATATATGTACTGCTTCCACTATACCACTATAGTTAAAGCATAACAACTTTCTAGTCTAAACAAGCCCTTACCATGCATCCTAATTCATTGCCTGTCCTACACCCAAACATAGATCTGTAGGCCATATAAATTTATTCTACACAAGTACACACACCTGAGAAGCTCTCACCTCTGTATTCTCTCATGAATACTCTGCTCTCTCCTTCTCCTGTGTACATGTACTCTGTTAGCTGGGGGCCAAGGTGAACGAATTCTCTCTTTCTAAAGAGATTACTGTTATTTTCCTCTCCTCCCTTCCCATTCATCTCTATGAACAGCTGAATAATGAGATTTTGAAAGAGATGGCATCACCCATCTCCCCTTTTCTTAAAGAAGATTTCAGCCAATAAGACTACAATATGCAAGTGAATCAGATAGGCAGTACACAAAGACATACTGGCTATATCATTTATCAAAAACTTTTACCTGCAAAATTTTCATGAATCACTTTGTAGTATTGTGAATGTTACTGGTATGTGTAGTTCTCCCATAAGATTTCAGTGGCTCTTCTCTTCCCTTCCCACCTGTTGCAGTCCTGCAAACACTTTATTATTCAGTGGCGACCTTGTGACATTAGGTGACATCAACCCTCCCCATTTTCTCCTCTAGTTCACTTGCCTAGAACAGACTTATTGACTACAGTGATGAATAACCAGTGGTTAAAAGGTATAAAACTTGCCTTTTTACAGTAATTTCTGGGTATAATCCAATTTTCTCACATCACACCCCAATTTCAAACAATTAACCTTGAGTAAGGCAGTGTCCTCTCCCCCTTGCCATCCAATACTTCATTTAAAATAGCTTTCTTTCAGCATTACCTCAACCATCCAGTTCTGAAGCACTCTTATTATGCTAAAAGTGTTCTCTTGTACTGCTCACTCAGGAAGGGGAATCAAGATCGTCTATCTTAAAAGGTTAATTTTCTTCTTCCGAGTCGAATGTTCCATTACAGATGTGTTTCTCCTTTAAAACAAAAGGAAAATACAATTATATAGTAATAAAGAGACTTACAGAATACTAGAGCTAGGAAAAGTAATTTTAACATTTATTATAATAGCAACTACCAGCGAGGAGGACTTTTCTCCCCCCGTTCAGGACCTCCCACAAATCTACTTGAGACAACCTTCAAATTTTCTAAACGGAAAGGACATCTGTCTGTAATATTCCTTGGGGGGTCATGACCCTCAGGTTCAGAACCCCATCTTAGACTACAAACACTTATAACATGGGTGCCAGCACACCTCAGCTTTACAGCCCACATGTTCACACTAATCGAGAGACTGCACTGTCAGTCTAGAGATGGATAAAATGTACACCTCCAGACTAAATATTAACTTTAATTCTTAGGTTCCAAGGCCAGAAGGGACCACTGTGACCATCTAATCTGACTTCCTGTAAAACACAGGCCACAGAACTTCTCCAAAACCATTCCTAGAACAGTATGTTTTAGTAAAACCTGCAGTCTTCATTTAAAAATTACCAGTGATGGAAATCCACCAGGACTCTTGGTAAACTACTCCAGTGGTTAATTACCCTCACTGCTGAATATTTAAACCTTATTTCCAGTCTGAGGACTTGTCTCCACTTACAGCACTACAGAAGCGAATGTAGACACAGTTAATCCACCTCCCCAAGAGGCGGTAGCTATGTTGACACGAGAAGCCGTCCCATCGACATAGCGCTGTCTAGACAGGGAGTTATGTTGATAGAATTACATTGCTCAGCGGATTTTTCCACACCCCTGAGCAACAGCCATTATACTGATATAGGTCTATAGTGTAGTCCTGGCCTAAATTCCTTAACTTTCATTTCCAACCTCTGGATTGTGTTACACTTTTTTCTGTTATATTGAAGAATGCATCATCAAATATTTGTTCTACAAAGGTACTTACAGACTAATCAAGTCACCCATTAATTTCCTCTTCGTTAAACTGAACAGATTGAGCTCCTTCTATCTATCACTATAAGGCATATTTTCTAATCCTTTAGTCATTCTTTTGGTTCTTCTCTGCAGCCTCTCCAGTTTATCAACATCCCTCTCAATTGTGGGCACCATCCCTGGCCAGTAACGGTCACATCGGTGTCAAGTATAGAGGTAAAATAACCTCTTAAGTCCCCTGTTTATGTATCCCAGGATCACATTAGCTCTTTTGGCCACTGAGTCACACTGGGAGCTTACTTTCGGGTAATTATCCACCATATCTTTTTTACAATCACTACTTCCCAGGATAGAGTCCACCATCCCTGTAAATATGACCTGCATTCTTTGTTCCTAGATGTATACATTCAGCAGTATTAAATTGCATATTGTTTGCTTGCACCAAGTTTAGCAAGAAATCCAGATCAATCAGAATCAGTGACCTGTCCTCTTCATTATTTAATGCTCTCCAAGTTTTGCAGACAGCTGCAAACTTTATCAGTGATGATTTTGTTTTCTTCCAGGTCACTGATATGTTAAATAGCATTGGGCCAAAAACTGATGCCAGCAGGGCCCCACTGGAAAAACCTGCTCAACGATGATCCCCCATTTACAATTACATTGAGACCTATCAGCCATTTTTTTAATCCAGTTAAGGTGTCCCATGTTAATTTTATACTGTTCTAGTTTTTTTAATCAAAATGTCACATGGCACCAAATCAAACACCTTATAGAAATCTAAATATGTCAACACTTATCTTTAATCAAACTTGTAATCTCATTAAAAAGATGATATCCACTTAAATCCTGTCAAACTATCTTCCATAAACCCATGTTGGTTTCTATTACCCTCCTTCAATTCTTGATTAATTGAATCCCCTATCAACTGCTCTGTATCTTGCCGGAGACTGATGTCAGCTGACAGACTGGTAAGTTACCAGGGTTATCTGTTTACCATTTTTAAAAACTAGCACATTAGCTTTCTTAGAGTCTTCTGGAACTCCCCAGTGCTCCAAGACTTATTGAAAATTTACTAAATTACTAGTTTCCCCCTATTGTTACTCACACCTTCTTGTCAACTGTCTGAAATGGGTCACTCTCATTACCACTTCAAAAGTTTTTTTTCCCTCCCTTGGTATTCTGCTGTTAAGTGAATGGTCTCACTAGACTGACCTCACACTTGGTCAAGCAACTCCCATCCTTTCATGTATTTATACCTGCGCCTGTATTTTCCACTCCATGCATCTGACGAAGCGGGTTCTAGCCCATGAAAGCTTATGCCCAAATACATTTGTTAGTCTTCAAGGTGCCGCAAGGGCTCCTCGTTGTTTTTGATGAAAAATCTACATTAATGGTCCAGCAAGCTCCTCAGCCAGCTGTTAAAACTCTGGGATGCAAGTTATTTTATTTGGACCTGCTGATTTGAAAATGTCTAACTTTAGTAGCGTCTGTTTAATATCGTCCAGACATACTAGCGGAATGGAAAGAGTTATCATCACCATATGATGAGACTGCATCATCTGTTTTCTCCCCAATACAGAATACATATTTATTGAACACTTCTGCCTTTTCTGCATTGTTATTGCTAATTATAGCATTTCCACCTAGTAAAGGACCAATAAAATTGTCAGGATTCTTTTTGTTCTTAATAAAATCTAAATACTCTCTATAATTATTGTGCTTAACACTGCTAGCCATAGATTCTTCCTTGTGTCCCTTTGCATCTCTTATGAATTTTCTACAATTCCAGTCCAATTGCTATCAACTTCTCCTTTTCTTCCATTTGTTATATATTTCTATTTTTAATAGCTACCTTCACTACCCCCCTAAATTAGGTTGTTTTTTAAATCAGCATGATTAAAGGGGCTTGCTTAAACTTGGTAATGCTAGTATTCAACATCAGTTTTACGACTACCTCACATTTCCTAACTAAAACCCCTTATTATTCATCTACTACAGTATAAAATCTGAAAATCTGTACAAAGAGCATATTGGTATCATCGTGTCATAAATACAGGCAAGTCTAGACACAAGATGATGTGCTCCTATTTTGCTTAAACCAATTTTCTAAAGCTTCATATAGTGAAGAATAATTTGTCATGTACAAAAATTTTTCCAAGTTACACACACACATTCACAAGATAAGAGCTTTTGTGCCTCACAGCAAATCCAAAGCTTAAGTATATATCCTGTAGATATATACACTCAAACTTGGTGTTAATTTTTTTTTTAAGCAAATCTCAAAGGGCTTTGCAAAGGAGGTCAGTATCATTATCTTCATTTTACAGAGTGGGTGACTAAGGCACAGAGATGAAGTGACTTGCCCAAAGTCACCCAGCAGACCACTGGCAGAACCTGTATCTCCTGAATCCCAGTCCAGAGTTCTACCAACTAGACCAGTGGTTCTCAACCTGTTCTCTGCGTATCCTTGGGGTCCGCAGACTATGCTTAAGATTTCCAAAAGGGTCTGCACCTCCATTTGAAAATTTTTAGGGGCCTGCAAATGAATAAAGATCAAGAACCACTGAACTAGACTACACTGCCTCAGCAGAATACACAAGACAAACACATGGTAAAAGTTAGTATTATTTTCTCTATTTTAGAGATGGAGAATTGAGGCAGAGAGAGATTAAATTACTTGCCATAGAAGTCTGTGGCAGAGCTGGAAACTGAACCCACATCTTTCATATCTTAGTCCAATTACTTAATTGAAATACCCCCTCTGAGCTGACTCTGTATTTGCACTTTTACATGCAAGCTGTGCGAACATGCTTTGGAAAGTTACCAGCCCCCACTGATCAATGATAAAAATAACTTACTTGTTCTACCACTTCCCTCCACCATGCAAGCAGATACTTACTTTCTTTTTTAGTGAGGTTACAGCCACAAAATTGATTTTTTGGGGGTGACAGAAGGGAACCACATGGATCATACATCTGGGTAAGCCACAGTAATTGAAGAAGAATGTATACCATCATTGACTGTTGATGTGTTTAACAAAAACTTAAATATTTTTAGTATTATTGGCATTCAAACTCAGATACTTAAAGCTTGTTTCTCCCCCCCCCCTCCTTTTGTGTAATTCCCAATAACAAAAACTACTCTAGGATAAAAATAAGTAATTTTATTGATGTGAAATAAAATCCAGGTCCCAACTTTCACAGCTCTCTGTTCCATAGCAACGATACTTGGTTTTGATCAGTAGACTAAGCAGATATGTCTATTAAAGACAAAGATAGAGCAAACAGCAAGAGGTTATTTTTCCAGTGTCACTTTAATTACTGTAAACACACTTAAGAAAACAAAACAGATTGAACTTTAAATTGTTACACTCACGGACACTCCATAGGTTCATGGAGCCTTTAGAGACAAGATCTGTAGTGCAGAGTTGTTAATATGAACAAAGTAATGCATATCAACATTATGTAAATTAATGACAGATTACTCAAAACTACTATGACAGGTTTCAGAGTAACAGCCATGTTAGTCTGTATTCGCAAAAAGAAAAGGAGTACTTGTGGCACCTTAGAGACTAACCAATTTATTTGAGCATGAGCTTTCGTGAGCTACAGCTCACTTCATCGGATGCATACCGTGGAAACTAGCTCACGAAAGCTCATGCTCAAATAAATTGGTTAGTCTCTAAGGTGCCACAAGTACTCCTTTTCTTTTTTCAAAACTACTATGTGGTTCAAGAGGTTTATTTCTGCATATTCATACTCCTGAGACTGATGCCACCTTAGCCCCGCAGAGTAAACTCTAAAATTCCAACATTTTAATTTATGTTTGAGGGCAGCCCCAAAACATTCTCAAAATGGAGATTTGCTCAAGGCTTAGGAGACTGCTGAAGACAGCCTTACAGCTTCTTACTGTGGTACTGACTTCCTTAGAGCCAAGAGTCATGCACTGAGAAAGTACCTACATTGGCTTGTTCCAGCAGAACAGAGGAGTATCCAACACCAATACATCAGCGAATTCCTGCTCGGTACCTTGTTTCTTGTTATATGGGTAACTTCCAATATTAACAAAGATAAGTTCCTTAAAAGGCCAAATCATCCTCAGCAAGAGTAACACTCCAACAATGGAAGAGATGAGGCCTCAGCACCCAGAGAAGATTTAGGTACTACAATCATGGACCTTGGATCCAAATGGCACAAATTTGCTCACTGCCAGGGTCGTTCCTGATTGATGTATCTGAAGTCAAACTGGCTTATTCTGTGTCCCTTCCTCGGGCCAGATAGACAATTGTGTCAGTTGCCTTTCCAAGGAGGTTTTACAAGCCCAATCCTTGGGTCCACTAACATACTGGCTAGTTTTTTTATTATTATTATTAATATTATTTATATTATGGTAGCACCAATGAACTTCCATCAAGGACCAAGTATTCATTGTGCTTGGACTATGAAATAAAAAACAAAACAGTCTCTGCCACAGAGAGCTCGCAATCTACAGGTAGACAAGACAACAGGGGGACTTAAATTAAAAAAAAAAAGTATCGAACTTAAGAATTTGAAGAACATTGCAGACTGCTGTAAAGACTCTAAAAACCATCAGATCCTGGGGGGCTTTGTTTTGGAGGGAGGTGGTGTCTTGGTTTTTTCTCAAGTCTATTTCTCTGGTCTCTGATGGACAAGGAGCTTTTCTGGATCATTCAGTTGTGAATATTTCAATAAGGCATTTCTATTTGTGTAGGTACTTAAACCGCACTCATCAGTCGGGTACATAACTCATGATCACCTGCATCCAAGCAGTCCCACTAGTAGGTTAACATAAGCAAATGTACACCAATGTGTCCCTGGCCAAGAATTTACAGTGAGGTTAGATAAGGAAAAAGGCTTCAGAAAACTCTAAAAATCTCTAGACTGAAAATCATTTTTGAGTATGCTTGATATGGCAATCACTTCTAAAACTAGGTTTCAGAGTAACAGCCGTGTTAGTCTGTATTCGCAAAAAGAAAAGGAGTACTTGTGGCACCTTAGAGACTAACCAATTTATTTGAGCATAAGCTTTTGTGAGCTACAGCTCACTTCATCGGATGCACACTGTATGCATACAGTATGCATCCGATGAAGTGAGCTGTAGCTCACGAAAGCTTACGCTCAAATAAATTGGTTAGTCTCTTAAGGTGCCACAAGTACTCCTTTTCTTTTTACTTCTAAAACTGTATTTCCTCCTTCCCCAACATCAAGCAAAAGGTACTGATAATTAATGCTAGATCGTGTTTTTAAAACTTCAGCCATTTTGCTGCAGTCACATTTAAAAACAAACCAAAGAAGTGTTGCTTAAACTTCATAACATATTTTCCTCCCTTTGAGCAGAGACCAAGCATGAAAACCTCCAGCCTGAACTGTGAACATTTCAAGGTTGTGGACTTGTGAAAACATAGTGTTATAGCAAAAAAAATTTGTGGCCATGTGCTCATTGCTGTACTGTAAGAAGATCAGTTTCCATCTGATATTTACACATACATACACTTTTATAGCACAGAATACTCTATATAAACACTAGGTGCTAATTGTATAGGAAGGGGTGTTTAAACAGCCTAAAATATTACTTATTCAAAAAAGACCTCACACGTACAGTTAAACATACACCAATCCACCTCCAACACAAGTCTTAAAGCGCACATTTTAAAGTAGCAGGAATAACAGGGGAAGTGGTTTTCATACAGATGTGGCTAGTTAGTTTAGTTTCTAAAGGTGCCGCAGCCAGCTCAGCCTTTACAAGAAAAGAAAGTGACTTTACAGCGTGGCAGGCTCAAAATATAGATCCTTGCCAAGTTATCAACACTCTAAAGAGCTAAACCAGGCTCCCTCCTCCCCAGTAACCAATTCAATCCTAGTGCTGTTTTGGGGGGCAGCATGCCTGACACCGCATCCTTGCCCAGCCAGACTGGGCAGAGGGGCTGGGGGATGACCCCTTCCCCACAGATGCCAACGACTGTATCTTTGCGATGAAGACCACTGGCTCCATTCAGGGCACTGCTTCTTAGGAGGTGTTTTTAAGGGGGTGGGGGGGTTGAACCCTGGAATAAACAGGGTAGCAGAGGTGCCCCCTCACCACCATCATCGCCCCTGCTGACGACCCACTACCCCCTCCTTGCTGGGGGGACCCCACACCACCCCCACTATCCCTCCCTCCCGGGGGACAGAGCGGGGAAGGGGCGTGAAGACCCCACACCACCCTCTCCCTGCGGGGGGAGCAAGGCCCCCCCCTCTCCCGCCTGGGGGGGGGGGGTGTCCTGAGCCGAAGCGGCGGGGAGGGTCTGTGAACAAGTCTGAGGAGAGCGGGGAAGGACCCCGCACGCCCACCCGGCCAGGAGGGGCGTGGAGCCCAGAACACGCCCCCGCCCCTCGCCTCAGAGACTTCCGGGGAAGGATCCCGAATTTCCCCGCCTGAGGAGGCTTCCGGAGAGGCGCGAGGACCCCCCAATCCCCGCCCCATCTGAGGGGGCTTCCCAATAGGAAGAGACCCCGCGTCCCCCCTCCCGGAGGGGGCGCTCCCTGGAGCCGCGAGCGGGAGGGCGGGGTTCCCATTACCGTAGGCGGCGGCGGCGGCGGCGGCGGTCCCCGGGGCTGCCCCGTCCCCGCCGCTCCCCACAGCCGCTGCCTGCCTCGCTCTGCAGCCCCGTGCGCTGCCCGGTTTGTTTTTGTTTTGTTCTGCCCAGCGACACGGCAGCGAGCGGCCGCCGCGGATTGGTCGGCGGGTTCCACCCGCCGCAGCCAATCAGAGGGCGAGGGGTTGGGAAAGGGGCGGAAGAGAAGGCGGGTACTCAACCGGCAAAGAGGGAGGGCGACACCATCTGCTCGGAAGGGGCGGGGGTGGGTGTGTCCAGCGGGGAACAGGAAGGAACCATTGTGTGTTGGGGTGGGGAGGGCAGGGGCGGTCCAGCCTAGTGGGAAGGGAGGGTGGGTCACACATCATTCTGTTGCCCCCAGGACATTGTCTGGGAAGGGGGAGGAGTGATCAAACTCCCCAGGCCTGTTAAGAGGAGACATATACAAGGCAGAAGGGGTCTTTGCCACCCCATAGGGTCCTATGCAGTTGTGGGGTGGGCTCCTCGGGTGCTAGAATGAGGAGGTTTTGGGACTCAAATTGCCTCCGCCAGTTCTATCGCCCGGCACCTTGTATGGGTCTGATCTAAATAAGCATAGGGTGGCAGGAACTTATGTTGCCAATGGCCAAAAGCCCACCAATCTACCACCCTCCTTTTGGAAGCGCATTCATCACCCCAATCAGCCAGCAATTGCTGGTTTATTCACCCATCCACTGCAAAACTAATGGGGGCCAGTGTACTCACCAGGGGTAGAGAGCAGGGCAGTTGCCTTCCCAAAGAACCTTATTAATAGCAGTTAAATACAGGGATCTCAAGCGGAGGAATCATTGTTATTGTTCAGTCCCATAAACGTTTATGGCCCATGGCACAGAGGCACTGCCATCTAATACACATAAGGATGCCACCTCTAAGGTACAAAAAAACAGGACATTTGGGATGATGCTGAGCCCAAAAACCTGGACAGCAGGCAGTGTTTATTGAGCACCCTCACAGATTTCACAGGACAGTTACCTCAAAAAAGGGACAATCCTGGGAAAACCTAGAAAAAACAAGAAAAAACATAAGTCAAGAGGGCAAAGAGAAGGTATTGGGGTCAATGGAGGTCATCAAATGCACGATTTCTCAGTATAAACTAGAATATACATCTGATGAAGTGAGCTGTAGCTCACGAAAGCTCATGCTCAAATAAATTGGTTAGTCTCTAAGGTGCCACAAGTACTCCTTTTCTTTTTTAGAAAATGTAATGTAACACTTAGTGAAGAAGACTTAGGGAAAGGCCCCTGCTGTTAAGAAAGGAGCCAAAAAACAAAACAAAAACCCCAGCATGGCACTATGAATTTATATAATAAAATAACACATTGTCATAATGCATCCTATGCTCTTTTGCCCCATCCTCAGTTTAGCCCTGCAGAACACCAGACAGATCTGCTTGGTACAGGACGTTCTTACGCCGTAACTAAAATAAAGGTGGCTTTAAGGCAGTCTATGTGATCTATGCAGCTGCATAGTGCACTGCACTTCCAGTGGCTCTCTGTCACATACGCATACTCAACCCACTAGCCATAGCATGGGTTCCATGCGGGTTAAATCACTGATACCCATCCATCATCCCATTGAGGGCTGTGTGGCAGATACTCAGTTCGCTTGCTGCCCTCACCCACTTGTAATGTTGTGCTTTAGCATTATCTCCTGATTTCCCAGCCCATTTAAGAGGATTATTAAAGCCAACCTGATACTTTCAAGAAAGGCACATAGACCTCAAACAGGCAGACCAATTTAGATTAGGTTAGAGGTTGCTGAGTCCAAAGTGTGAGACAGGGTGAACACACCTCGAGCAGACAGGCAGGAAGTGGCTGGTGGAGGGAGAATGTTATATGTAAACAGGGTGTATAGGAACCCAGAAGTGGGGAGAGAGATGAATTGGTCCCATGCAGGTTAAATCATAAAACCTACCAAGTAAGGCTAGCCCTACAACAGCAGTACATTCCTGCTGTATTTGCCTACAGTGAGGAAATTGAAAAGCTTGAGCTTTTCTGGCTACCACGCAACACCCGACCGTCAAATTTTCTCTTTGGCAAATAACCAAAAATAATTTGAAATAAATGAAATACTTTTGGTTTTTTTAAATCAGGAAAATAATATATTTCTTATCTTTAAGTGACTCCAGATTAGACTAGGGCAAGAACTGTCCTTTTTGCAGTCTGCCTTTGTGGGATACATCTTCCTCATCCTCCCTTTTTTTGTTTTTGGTTGTTGTTTTTGTTGTTGTTTTCTCCTAGGGTGACCAGACAGCAAATGTGAAAAATCGGGACGGCGTTGGGGGATAATAGGAGCCTATATAAGAAAAAGACCCAAAAATAGGAACTGTCCCTATAAAATCGGGACATTTGGTCACCCTATTTTCTCCAGAGTTGCAGCGCTGAACATTTTGAGATTCTGGCACCAGGTCTGAGATATCACACCAAAGCCTGAGGCGAGACAGATATAACTCCTCTACTTGAGGGGAAGAAGGGACGCTGTGGAGTGGAAAGAAAAGGAGTACTTGTGGCACCTTAGAGACTAACCAATTTATTTGAGCATGAGCTTTCGTGAGCTACAGCTCACTTCAAGTGAGCTGTAGCTCACGAAAGCTCATGCTCAAATAAATTGGTTAGTCTCTAAGGTGCCACAAGTACTCCTTTTCTTTTTGCGAATACAGACTAACACGGCTGTTACTCTGAAACCTGTGGAGTGGAAGATAACCCAGCAGACTGATCCCGTCTAGTCCTGAAATGATGAATCTAGTACATACAACACATATTCAGGGTAGACAGCGAAAATGAAACCACTTTGTGCATTGGAATGCTATGAGACATCTCTAGCCAATTCAGATCTCTCTTGTGTTAGACATTTGCTACAAAGTGGATTTATTCAGTTACTGGCAGTTGTGTGCGCCTCAGTGAATACCATACAACTTTATTGTGTATAGCATTCCTTCTGGAGTCAATGGGAGTTTGGCTGAACTTAGGTGAGGAGGTTTGGACTCTAATAATAAGGAACTGCAGAGGAGGAGGATTTTGCCAAAGACACCCCAATAAACCTTTGCACCAATTCCCACTGCACCCTTTGAAGTGCTGTGTAAAATTGCAGAAGGGATTCTAAGAGGCTATTTAGGACTGGAGCACTTGCTAAAGGTAGGGTCGCTTGTCACAAGAGGATGAGAACTCTGATGTTGTCCTGGGTATTTCCATGAGATTAAAAAGCATTTTTTCTTGTTGAATATCCCTACTCAGAGCATTTATATCAACCATCATAAATCTCAACTCAACTGGAGCACATACACTTACAGACACATAGATGCTGCAAATATATCCAAGATTTAGTAAACGCTGAATGCCTGCACAAATACTTAGTTTGCAACCAATTAGATATATTTCTCCCCATCTCTGTAACTACCAGGACTAATATTGCACAGGAAATATTCTAACAAATCAAAGGTAAAATAAACAGAATTTTCCTTTGCACCCAGTTTTTAATTCAGATGGAATTAAGTTATCCAAAGTCACTTGGAAATAATCCTTTCTAAATGGTTTCTGCTGGATCCTTGTTTCAGGTGCAAAGTGTCTGAGTTGAGTTGTCCTGTCCTGGAGTCTTTAAACTCTGGTGATTGCTGCCTGCTTTATTAACCTGGATTCTTGATAATGATGATGCCTCCAAGCATGGAACTGCGAGTTGGTACTCAAAGCAATTACTAGTCCCCACCCTTGCTTCTGCCCAGAATCTTGCTGATAATTCTGGTGCCAGATTCCCTTTGGAGCTTAAGCTCTGGCAAACAAGTCCCTTTCTAGTCTTTGCTTTTCACTACATTCTCATTCTCTCTCTCTGGTTGTTTTCAAAGAATCCACTACTTTTCTGGCATGTTCAACTTACTTGCTGGGCCCGCCCATAAACAGAAGAAAGAAACCTATTGGCCAGAATTCCTCCAAACAATTAGAAAAGCCCTTTCTCCAGCACTGGGAATGCCCTGTTATTCTGCCAGGGATCTGTAAGCAGTTTGTATAGATATAGTCCACTTTTAAAACTTATCTACAGATGCCAGTTTGAGGTTACCCTGATACAAGTGTGTTTCATCAAGTTGTCTTTTGAATGTTCTTGAACCCTATGTGCATCGTAGCTATTGTGATTCACCCACTTCCAGCAAGCTTCTAACACAGGGGTGGCCAATCTGTGACTCCGGAGCCACATGTGGCTCTTCAGAGGTTAATACGCTGCTCCTTGTCTAGGCACCGACTCCGGTGCTGGAGCTACAGGTGCCAACTTTCCAATGTGCCGGGGGGTGCTCACTGCTCAACCCCTGGCTCTGCCACAGCCCATCCCCCCCACTCCACCCCTTCCCAGCACCTCCCCTGAGCCTGCCCTGCCCTCCCTCCTCCCCCCCCGGCCCCCAGAGCCTCCTGCACACCAGGAAACTGCTGAAGGGGAGAAAAGGAGAAGTGCTGATTGGCGGGGCTGCTGGTGGGTGGGAGGTGCTGGGAGTAGGGTGGGAGCTGATGCGGGGCTGCTGACGTATTACTGTGGCTCGTTGGCAATGTTCATTGGTAAATTCTGGCTCCTTCTCAGGCTCAGGTTGGCCACCCCTGATCGAACACAAGAGAGATCGATAAAAACAAAATTGAATTGGATAGAGATGTCCTATAACATTCCAATGCACACAGTGGTTTCATCTTCTCAACAATTTTTTTATTCATTAAACCATTTCAAAAAGCAGCATGTGTGATCCAGACACCTCAGTGGTTCTGTTTGACCATAATATAGCCTGTGGAGACTGGAGTCTATGTTAGAGTATCAATTAATCAATCGAGGCAGCAAAAAAACAGGATCTGCCAAACACAATCCCATTTATCTTGTGGTTTTATTTTCTTATATACATATTTATTCTGCCTCCTTTGTGTTGGCATTTGGGTGCCGTAATAAAATCAGATGCAAACATAGCAATGCTACTTGGGTAACAAACAATCTAATCCCACTTTGGCCAGTGATGGCTACAGGTTGAAAGGTTTAGTTGAGGTGCTAAGATGCCTGAGCTTTGTTTGTGCTAATTAATTACGGTCATGTTTAAAATTTCCCCATGGTCCTTTGTAATGG